GTTCCTATAAACATCGTAAAATGTTACGGTACATCGCGAAAAATGTGTTATATTTTACTTTTAAATTTATGGTAAGTAACGCAGCAATTCATTTAATAACAGTTTCATATTAAAAAAAAACATATTTGAAGCAATATAATCACCATATTGAGCTTTTGCAAATTCATCCCTTTAAAATAAACAAAACGCGCGTTACGTCAGTTCGTTCTGAAAGAAACGTGACAATGGCAGCCAGAAATGCCTCAATTTTTTTGGGCCGGTCCGCATTCACCTAATAAAAATAAAGTTCTTATATAATATTGAAAATAAAGTTTTATCTTTTGAATAAGGACGTACTTATTCGGTGGCGTTATCATTAGAATCTTTATATGTTATAAATTAATGCTTTTTGTTGTTAAATAAATAAAGTACTTTATAACAATAGATGATTTTTCTTCTACAGCGATCTTTTACACAACTTTTTCATAATAGTTAATAAATATATATTATATCAATCATTATAAAAAATCATTATAAATAAAGAAATTACTACATATAAAAAGTGCATATATATTGAAGGTTTGTAGCCCTTGGTTAAACGACCGAAAGGTCATGGCCCGCTTTTCTCAATCGATTTGGCACGTACTATAGTGTTTAGAATTTAACACGATAGAATCTCAACCAAAACCAACAAAAACTATGCCCAATTTACTGTCGGAACACGCACTCGTATATGCATAAAATAATTTGTAACCAACAACATGGTTTAAGTGGTTTACATACTGCATGCAGCCCATATTATCAAGTATTATGAGATCTCATTATAATTTTCTCTTGACCTATTTTACCTAAAAAAAAACGTATTGGGATTTCCTCCCTAGGACTTAATTTTAAATAACGAAGTAAAACGCAAATTCAATAAAAGTATTACTTTAATAGTTTCCTAAGACAGAACATAACAAAAATATACACCACCAACCAAATATCACTTTAAAAAAAACATCACATGAGTAAACTGTATCATGTTGTTATCACAATTAAAAGGAAATTGACAAAGTCCTGTTAATGAACTGTGTACAAATTACATTTAGCGGATAGAATTGACTCACTCTTTCAATTTTTTTTTTACCAATGAGCAAGGTGTATTCAAATTGAAAGAACTACTTTTGTTTGGTCTCAAATATAAATGTAACAACTTCTAATAATAATGAAGTCAGTAGGTTTCCAGGGCAGCTAGAAAAACTGACGAAGACACCACGACGTATTATTTATATTGTGTCTGCGAAAGATTATAGGTACGTAAAGCTCTCAATACAAATCTTTATTTATGGCTTACGCCCCTTGCCTCATTACGTAGTAATTATTTGTTATTGCTTTCATTTTCCGTAAAATTTTGTATTTATTACGTTTTTATAGGTAAGCACTTATGGGAAACCATTTATAGATTTTACGTCACCATGTACTTAGTGGTTGACATTTTAGACAAACAACCTTTCATAACTCGTCTTCATAGAATACTATAATACATACATAATAGAACGGGGGAGTGGGCGGAGACCGTGTAGCCACTAAATGCCGCTAACACGTCAATTCACACGTATAAATGTCAACATAAGATGTGTTTTAACGTTACAATCGTTTCCAAATTTCGCATGCAAATTATTTAGAAAATGCCAAATCGCACGTTATTTACAAATAAATATGTATTAAAATCCGTCTGTCAACACAACGAATCGGGTTTGTAGTAGTGATTGACTGATAATACGATGTAATTGCTTGTATGTGTGCTCTCGGCGACGCTTATCCTCGTACAAAATAAGGTTGACAGCCATTCTATTGTGTGTTATAGTATTCTATGCTCGTCATAATAGGTTGGTTTAGATTTGACAGAAGGTAAAACCATTGAGGTATTACTACTACGTATAGAGAAGACAACGCCTTGCATAATTTTGCGCCACGTTTTGCGGTACACTATATCGCAACTGTTTAGTGCACCCCTTTAGGGGTATATGTGTTCTGTGGTTTAGTGAGTGTCCAACGCCCGCTCAGATGAGTCGTGTTCGCTTCGCATACATAACAACTTCAAAATGCCTGGTCGTGTTCTTAAAGACTGTAAACAAAGACAGTAAACATTCCAGAACATCAAAAAAAAAGTGATAGTTTAACATTTCATCGGTAAGTAGACATTAAAACGTTTAAAACTCTTTGATTTAAAAAAAATCTCGTTACAATGCTCACGAGAATCGGGAAAAATGTAAAATCTATGAGAGCGACTTGTACACTAGATTGAACGATACGCGTAAGCGCCATGAAATTACTGGCGCTTATGACGTTTTGGTCGCAAGAAAACTAATCCCTAATGCAACCTAGCGCTGCATTTTTTAATAGTTTGGTTAAACGACGTGACTTATTTTAGCGCTGCAGCGAACTTTAACTAACTAACTAACTTTCTAACTCTTACCAAAATGAAGCAAACTTTTGGTTCGGGGTGTCTGTTCTATACGTTAGTAATATAGTTCGATGGGTAAAACAAAGATCAAAATTTATGTGTGTGTAAAATGATAAAAAGTTATTTACACATATAATATGCTTAAAGAGCATTGTCCGTTTTTCCGCCCGCACTGGAAACAAACTTAAATTTGCATAGAACATGCAGCAATATGTAAAAGAAATATGAAGTCTAAAGTAACTGTTTAAATATGTATTTTTAGACATTTATATTTTGAAATATTTAGTTGTAGACATGCACCAGTACTAGGTGTATTTGTTTGCGTTCTTAAAAGTTCTTGAATCTTACACTTAAGTTCTATCCAACCTCAGAACGCATAATTTTTACATATTGCAGCTTGCCATACAAATTCTAAAATTTACATTTAAAGTAAGATATGAATTGAAAAATAAAAATTAGTAGAAATTAATAATAGGAGGTTGTTATCCGATAAACTATAATTTATAGTACATATATGTAAGACTAGATATAATAAGCCAGGCTTATTAACACCAATAACATTCAGTTTCAAACTCGTCATTTACCTCAATATATTTAAATAAAACAACCAAGTAAACAGGTTAATGATACACTTAAATCTGATGAAATTTTAATACCGCTCATTTAATCTTCTAATTTAGCCTAAATTACTAAATCTTATTTTAATTTTGTTACCGTTATCAACCTACAGCCTCAATTATTATTTATTGAATAACTAATTTTTATACTGAAACATTGAAAATAAAGCTTTTCAGTCACTGAAACCGTTTAAAATATTTTTCTTAAAATCGCCTTATAAAATAACATGGTGAAATACCCGAGCGCACAAATAATTACATCAGATTCAGATCTTCAATCAACTTAAACTATAAAATATTAATAAAGCAACAACAAAATAATAAGTAGATAAAATAATCACAGTATATAAATGTTAAAGTTAAAATAATCCGATTAAAGTCAATATTATAAAATCATTTAAACACTTTACATTTGATTTACATAATACGCAATAAAAAAATTGCATGTTCTTTACTCCGATCCACAAAAGAAGAGGAGCTTTGCGCACAATTCTAGTGATACCGACACTTCTTTCTTTTTTTATCAGTTCATAAGAGTTTACTACGTATTGGACGTACACACGTCTCTAATTATTTTAGATGCGTATACATATATGGGCCGCGGGTTTTTACAATAAGTTGAGCATGGTTTTGGCTTCGTTTTTGCGTCACTAGAGATATACGCAGTGCTCTGTCTTTTTTTCTTCGTTGGTCTGAGGTTCTATATTATAAAATGTATATTTACATTTTTTCAAATTTATGCAGTTAAGTTACTGGTACAAGTCTTTGTTCATATCTCATTTCCAGAGCCATTAATAGTGTTAGTTCTTATATCTGACATAGTACCAATGTACAATTGTATACAGAGTGATGATGCCAATGATACAATAAAACAAAACTACTAGAAGTAAACATGTTGGTGCAATATGGGTTGTCCCTTTCTATTAAGGTCTCATTTAGTTACAAATTGTAAGTTTGATATTTATGTAAAAAAAAAACAAGTTTCAATTGTACTAAAGATATAGTGTAGTATATAGATTGTATAAGTATGTTATCGATATTATCATTGGTTCTCAATACACACAAAGATATCCTTTTAAAAAGAGTACAATCGGTTTCTAAAGACATGGAGATTTATTAAACTGGACCTCTTACATGGTAGAGCCATGTTGCAGTTATATTAGTAGTATATAGGTGAAGCACGAATGGGTCGGTTCGACCGGGGAAAGACCACGCTCTCACAGAATACCAGCGTAAAATAGCAGCTTAACGCTGAGGTATTTTGTACGGTGAGTGTAAAGAACCGGAGATCCATTTTACTGGAAATGTCTGCATTTTGATTCGTAAGCGAGGATAGATATAGATGTCTTTGAGCCACAGCAACCACTTACCATCACGTGGACTGTGTGCTCGTTTGTCACCCTTATCCTATAAAAAAAAACTTCCGAAAATCTAACCCATTATACAACTTCCAAATAATTCCTATAACTCAAAAATCCTTTTTAAACCAATTACAACACCTATATAACAACACTTTATTGTATGATACATTCTGTAGGCGCGGGCTAAAAGTAAGAACCTTCCAGTAAAAAAGTCGTAGAAAAGAGACGGTTCTGATTTTTTTATAAAAATTGTTTATTGCATAAATCGACATGTAATTATGAGTTTTGTCGATTGATGACACTTTTTTGTAATAAAAGGTACTAAATGCCTGAGATATAGTCTATAATAACGACGGATTTGATTCTGTGAGCGTAGTACAACGCCCGATTAAAGAATGCGTCCGTGTTCGGCGGACGGCGCTCGTCCCCCGCACCCCGCTCACCGCGGCGGATCACTAGTGTCGTTCTTGTTCTACGGGAAGAAGTGACATGTGCGCGACATGTCACTCGCGGCGAGTTTTAAAATAAATTTCAAATTATTTCTAAAATCACACGAGTTTATACGTATGTATTTAACTCGAATAAAGTAAAAATATGAATTCGAGTTCAAAACGAATGTTAGCGTTGGTGAAAAATGATGATAAAGGTACGGATGTAGATCAAAGAATATTAGTTAATAATAACAATGGTATAGAAAAATCAGAAGAGCAGTCAACACACATTACGGGTAAGTGAATATCATAATATCTTATTGCTTTACTAAGACTTTGTATGTTGTTTGGTTTTTACATAAGATTGAATTTACTTATCCACCGTACAACGACGGTTTGTCAAACTCGTCGTTGTCCTATGGATAATTTTATTTTTATTTTTAATTTTTATTTTTGTGTTAACACAGTTTAAATAATATTAATAGTATTTATACGTGTCACAACACATCCTTGTTAGTCGTGTTTATTTTTCTTGATGGAATTGATTGACCGGTAATGTTCTATGGACCATTCGAGGGCGTATTTTACGACCCGTCATTTTTCTACGGATAGATGCTAGTTGAATATGTATATCCGACATTATTCATGGGATTTTTTTAACATACGTCGTTGTTCAATTATAAATAGACTTACTTTGTTATTTTTTTTTTCTTATAATTCGTTTTCATTATTAGCATCACGCTTTTTAAAATAGTTTTTTCCATGTATGTTTGAAAATAGTTTTTATTTAAGGTTTTATTCTATTAAAAATAATTACACAACATACAACCTTGATATGGCCTAATATCTTTTATCAATCGCGATGACACGGTGGTTGTGTTGTTGGACAATCGGAATAGGTTACGAGTTTGACTTCCGAGCGAGTACATTTGTAAAATTACATATTCTAAAAATCTATACAAAGTACACGTTATATGTTAAGTTGAGAGAAGGTAATAGTGTAAACAAATTCGTTTTGATATCAAGACGAGTCAATTGCAGCAGATTCCGTTCCTGAACAAAATGAAGATCCTTTTATGCCTGTAGGTGAAATGAGTCCTATTACCTTGATTTCCCTCCATCAGAAACCTCACAGGTACATAGTAACATTAGATCTCCAACGCCGTTGACTTCCATTTTTAATGCTTTACCATCCCCATTAACTGAAAATATCGACGGTTCTTCTCAAGTGTCTTTACCCAATACTCCAGTAGCATCCCCAGTAAATAGACATGCAAAATGTGATGATCCGTTTTGTTGCCAACATGAAACTGATGATTTTTCCTGCCCTTCAGTATCTACTATTGGTACAAACTCTAACCAACCATCTCCATCGTGTTCAACGTTTTTAAAAAACAGAGGGAAAAAGCGCACACGAAAATATGATGATTGGGGAGAAATAAAGCGAAAAAACCTAAAAAACAAGGCAAAACGTATGTTTCAAAAAGAGGGCGTATAGTTGATGCTAAAATAATGGGTTCTCCATACAAATGCAGATTTCAATGTACTAAAAAAAATTCAAATGAAGAGCGTCTTGAGATTTTTACCAGGTTTTGGGAACTTGGTAGCAAAGAAAAGCAATGGTTGTATGTAGCTAACTATACAAAAAAACAACCGAAAAACAGGACATTCGCACGACAGTTAAAGCACAATAGAGTATTTACATATAAATATTATTTACCGAAAAAAACTGATAACACTGCCATTTATGACAAAATTGATGTCTGCAAAATCATGTTTTTAAACACTGGGTATCAGCGAGCGTACAGCAAGAACTGCCTGGCAAAAACATGATGGCAGCTCAGATGTTGAACAAGACATGAAAGGGCGTCACAATAATCATAAAATAGTAATTGATAACGAAATGTTGTTATCCGTATGCGCTCATGTCAACTCTTTCGTGCCAATAGAATCGCACTATTGTCGGAAAGGGTCAAAAAGGCTTTATTTAGAAGGCAGTCGCAGAAGGCAGAGTGTGGCTCGCATGTTCATGATGTACAATGACTGGCCAGACTTAGACAAGTATTCGAAAAAAGCTACAACTCTCCGACAGTACCGAGATATTGTAAACAGTCAATTTAATCATTTCACATTCCTACAAAAGAGTCTTGTGACCAATGCCATATTCTTAACAGACTGAAAACCCTTCTGAAGAATTGAAAGAACAACACAAAAGACATCAATCACATAAGACTATTGCCAGACAGCTAAAAAATTCTGACAAAAATGCAGCTGTTTTATCAAACGGTATGATTTTATGTGCAACATTCGACTTTCAAAAGGTTTTATCGTGCCCACATGGACAGATGAGTGTACTTTATTACAAACGCAAGCTGTCTTGCTACAATTTTACAATATTTGATGTTTCTACAAAAAAGGGATATTGTTATGTGTGGGACGAAAGTGTGGCGAAACGAGGCTCTAATAAAGTCGCTAGTTGTCTATATGATATTATGAAAGATATTTCTGATAAAGGAGTAAGGATTTCAGGTTTTGGTCAGACAACTGTGCTGGCCAAAATAAGAACCGTATTATGTTTGCACTCTACAGTCATGCCGAATGCCGAATTAGGGGTTTATTCAGACGTTGGTGGCATAGGACATCTGTGTCTACCACTGCGTTACAGCGTATAAGAATTGAGAGGTTACAAGATGAAGATGTGAAAGACAAGTACAAATGCAGACTGAGAGAAAATATAAGTAATTTGGATGAGTTGTGTGTGAATGAGTTAGACTTGGAGAATGTGTGGCATAATGTTAAGAAAGGTTTAGTGGATGCAGCTACCGAAGTATGTGGTGTTAGTAAGAGAACGAATGAAAGGAAAGACAATATGTTATGGTGAGATGATGAGGTACTTATGGAAGTTGAAGCAAAGAAGAGAGCATGGCTAGATTTACTGGTACCAAAGCTGGTAATTCTGGCGGTAAGAATGATGAGAATGAAAGAAAAAAGGCTGAGTTTAAACGTTTAAATAAGAGAGTAAAAGAATTAGTTGAAAGGAAAAAGCAAGAAAGAACGGATGGGAATGATAGAAGAATATCGGATAACTTCCAGGCAAATATTAAAATGTTCTGGAAACTCGTAAGAAATACCAGGAATACTTTCAAAACAGCCTAGATTGAATGCGATACGAGACGAGAATGGCTGTATCCTGAATGATGAAGTGTTGAGTCTAAAGAGATGGAAGGAATATTTTGAAAGCAAATTTATGAGTGAGGGGAAGTGTGAACTAAATGAAATAGAAATTCCGAAAGAAGATGAAAGAGATAGGGATATAAGTATAGATGAAATAATGAAAGCAATGAAAAGCATGAAAGTAGGTAAGGCAGCCGGATATGATAGAGTTTAACTCGAAATGCTAAGGGCTGGAGAGGACGTGGTGGCAGGCCTGCTGTACACCTTGTTTAATTTATGTTGGGAACTAAAGCGGGTACCGGGAGACTGGTGCAAAGCCATGATAGTCCCAATATATAAGGGAGAAGGGTCACAGCAGGACTGTAAAAACTACCGTGGTATCAGCCTTCTTAGCATTGTGGGTGAATGATTTTTTAAATATATACTAATAGTACCGTATAAAATACGTTTACTTTTATATGCGGGTATTCATTTTCCCTAAGATTATCCAAAAAAGTTTTTTAGTTTTGTAGGTGTAAGAATTTGATTTGAAAACCTATTTCTCGTGCCTTAATTGATATAAAATATGTAAAATTATAAATTGTTTGTTATTTCAGTTCCTAGACCTACATATTTCAAAACCGCCCATAATTTTTTTGTAACTACGCCTAGAACATTGACGGAAAGTATCATCCGTCATGAACCAAAAATTTGAACTCCATACAATAACTTCGGTTAATTACATACGTCACATTATACTGCAGATAACAACGACCGATGTGACTTTTTACGAAAACTATACATATTAGGAGTTTGTAGTGTAAATCACATTAAAAAAGTCGTCATGCAAAACAACTTGTCCAAATTTCACGTTAATTGAATTACTAGTTTTAAAAATATGGAGTAATATTCCATAAAAAAATCTTTGGACGGCTCTCCTGTAAAATTGCTAAATTGCATATCCGTCTTTGTTCTACAACTGCGACGATTTTGACAAACTGGACTTGACAACACTCAGAACCTAGCCGCACTCGACTGTGGACAGCGCGGTCGCACCTACACCCGCACCTGCGCTGCGCCCCGCGCCCGCGTTTACACACTCTGGCTAAGCACTCACTGCTGATTCCGAAGAAAGGCAACGTTGCGTGTTTGGAGCGGCTTGTTTAACATTATAATCTTATGGTATGAGTGTAAGAGAAAATACGGATTTTTTGTCTCCAAATGTTCAACTGACTGCCCAACGAGACTAAGTGTACGTGTACACCAAAAACGATTTTGTCGGCCAATGGCGAACAGAACTACCCGGACGAGTAAGACGGACGTGTATGTGCTTACACTGCAACACCAACAGTGTACCACTTGTGCCGACATTGGACGTTGCCGATCAAAGACTACAATATTATATTGCCGGTATTCTGTAGTTGACTGTGTTGCTTAACAGAGTGAAGACGTGTTTTTAAAATGGAGGAATTCAAAGAAATGTATATTTTAGATAATTCATACCACAACTTAATTCGTCGACGTCTTCGTCGGCGACTTCGGCGTGTGTGGGTTGATGATATGTTCATGTGCAACTAATTTTTTCATATTCATAGTCATTTAGTTAGATAACAACACTGACGAAACAACAAAATTAAGATATAATGATTAAATTAAACTATAAATTCACTCAATTTGCACTGACGCCGGCAGTCTGGAGAAGAATCCCAACAAGTTCGGACTCGACGGTTGATCGACCGTTTTCGTGCGTCAGCGGACGATGACTGTCGTGTTTGTTTATGCGCTCTGTTTGTTTTACAAGTGTTTGATAATTTGATTCGATTGTCCAAGTTCGGCCGTCGTCGCCCGAGCAAACTTCGGCCGATGACGGATTAAGTGTTCGCGAAGCTTAATGACCGACTGATGGCGGAAATGGATGGAAGAACTTCCAGAAGATAGTGGGTTGCAAGATCTATCCTATAGTAACTTAGAACATTCGTGAAAATGCAACCAAAGAAAAAGTATTTAGTTCCGATATGAAGAATAAAACTCAAGATATAAAAAAAGAAGAACAAGTTCAAAGACAAAAAATGAATAATGCATTAAAACAAAAAGACGCAGACAGAACAGAAGAGACAGTCAGATAACATAAAAAAAGTTTTTAAATCACTTTAGTCGCTAAAGGGAAATGAGAAGGGGATATATCAAAGAGCGAGTTTTCTTTATATTACCAAAACACACTGTAAACTATGTTATGACCAGAATAATAACGCCATAATAACGCCGTCACTTGCCCTTACGCACACACATACATTATACTTATATCAATAATAATAATGTCCTCCAGCCGGTATTTCGGTCACGGCGGCTAGCCTCAACGGAGACTAGCCATCGGCGCAGGACAGGATTATAGTGCCCAAGTGTATGCGCAAGCACAGGTGAACTCTCTATTCCCTCACTCTCATAGTCCGATGGAACGGTAAACCGACACGACTTGTTCGAAAAGTTGGCGGTATCTCACCCTCTTTCATTCTTCGATCTTGAGCGCGAACGAATTAGCCAATCAGGATCGTTTTAGCAGCTAACGTCGCGCCGCCATTACGGCAATCAGTCATCGAAGTGAGCGGACAAAGACTCCACGCGTTTTATTTGTTTTCTGGAAAAAACTTTTTTTGACAAATAGCTTGTGATTTTTCTATACTATATAGGGCGTGTAATTTCCGTAAATAATAACACCTCGGAATTGATTTAAATGGTATCAAATGTGACAATAACTACACTAACAGGTAAGAACTTGTTTTTCTCTGTGCTGCGTATTGGTTTTATTAAGTATTTTTTTAAATTTGATTCGGCATGCGGGGGCAAGATGGGGTCGGTCGGTCGGTCGGGAACCCCATCTTGCCCCTTAGCCTTTGCAAGCGGCGTATAAATGTCTAATTTTACTGTGTATTTTGTTCTAGAATGGTGAGAAATTATAAAAAAAAAACAAGTAGAGGGGATTGATCAGAAGAAAGTATGAAAGATGCTGTGAAAAATGTGGTTGAGGGAAAAATGGGCTACAAGCTTGCAGCAAAATCATTTTCTGTCCCACAGACAACTTTAGAAAGACAAGTGAAGCTTGCGCGAGAAAGTTTAGATAAGAATGGTCCAATTACTGTTAAATTTAAGGTACCGTTAGGCCCAAAAGAGCAAGTTTTTACTGATAATGAAGAGGAAGAGCTATGTAAATACATAATAGATATGGAGAGCAGGCTTTATGGACTGACAATGAAAGACTTAAGAGGTTTAGTCTATAGACTAGCGGTAAAAAATAACAAACGTCATCCGTTTAACAATCAAAAAAGAAGAAGCCGGGAAAGAATGGGCATTAGGATTTTTAAAAAGGCACCCAGAACTGTCTATTAGACAGCCTGAAAGTACCTCATCCGCACGTGCTGCTGGTTTCAATAAACAGGTGGTAGACCAGTTTTTCAATTTTTTGGGCAATGTTTACGATGAACATCATCTAACACCTGATGACTGCAACTGCGATGAAACTGGTATTTCAGTTGTGCCCAAAACTAAATCAAAAATTATCGCAAGAAAGGGCAGAAAGCAAGTGGGAGCCATAACATCTGCTGAACGAGGTACGACCATTACAGTAGAAATCTGTTTTAGTGCTAGTGGTAATTTTATGCCACCCATGATGGTATATCCTAGAAAAAGAATGGATCCGCAACTTATGATTAAAGCTGCCCCCGGTGCTTGGGGAGTTTGCAGTGATTCGGGCTGGATGACTTCAGAACTTTTCCTAGATTGGTTTAAAAAGTTCGTCGAATTTAGCGGAGCAACACCTGAGCGTCCTGTTTTGTTATTATTGGATGGACATAGTACTCATACGAAGAACATTGATCTCATAAATGAAGCACGCACTCACGGCGTTATCATTTTATGTTTCCCACCACATACAACTCACCGTCTTCAGGTTGCAGACGTTGCTTACATGAGACCGTTAAGTACCTACTACGATCATCAAATCATGGCGTGGCTTCGCAGCAACCCAGGGATGACTGTCACTGTCCGATAAGTAGCTGAAATTTTTGGAAAGGCGTTCATACAAGCGTCTACGATGTCAACAGCTGTCAATGGTTTTAAGAAATGTGGGATTTGGCCATATGATCCAACAGTATTCTCTGAGACCGACTTTGCTCCATCTTTGATGACAGATATTCAGCTTAATGTATCCGACGCACCTGCAAGCGATAATAGTTCGTTGATAATGGAATCGTCATCCACAGAACCAGCAACAAATAATCAGAATGCGCCAATTATATCTGAAGCCATTTCTGTTGCGGCAACTTTGACGGATGCAGCAGTGACGCCAGTAACAGTGGAAACAGAAACATTGTCGAGACTTGATACTGCCGCTAGTATTTCTGCGAGTACGTCACTATCAACTAATCTGGTTACTGCACTTACTGTGCTACCTAATACAATGTCAACCCCTGAACCAGGATGTTCTTACTGGCTCGATAACTCCGATCTACACGAAAGACCACGAACTCCGCAGCAATCAATATTTGGTGTTGTAAGTCCGCAGCAAATAATGCCCTTTCCAGCAACTACAAAAACATCTCGCTCAACTAGAAAACGAGGAAAAACCGCGGTGATCACATCTTCGCCGTATAAGAATGAGTTAGAAGAAACGATTAAGAAAAAGGAACAAGCGGAAGAGGATAAACAGAGAAAAAAAGAGTTGAGGGAACTTAAAAAATCTGAAAAAGACCCGGCAACTAAGAAGAAAAGAGTAACAAAGAAGAAACAAGGGGCTAAGAATAGATCATTAAACGAGAATAGTGACAGCGATATTGAAAATACACCTTGTTTGTATTGTAAAGGCCTATATTTGGACTCAAATGAAGGCTGGGCTGCTTGTTCAGCATGCGGCAAATGGGCTCACTGCAGCTGTGCAGGTGTGGACGACGAAGATGCAGATACCGTGTTCACTTGTGAACAGTCCTAAATGGTCGTTTGCTGCGTACCCCATCTTACCCACGGGGTACCCCATCTTACCCTAGGGGTGGGGCATGATGGGGTGAATGGTGTATTTCTACTTTTTGATTTTTTTTAATTTTATTATGTTGATAAGACTGCCAAATACTCGTTAACAATGAAGACTGATTATCTAAGATTATAAGAATAAAACAAATTAATAAAACTCTTTACGGTGAATTTTATTTAACATCAAACCTTAAGGACCCCGTCTTACCCCACTCTCCCCTACTGAATTTCGGTCACGGCGGTAATGGAAGTCTCTACGAATTATAGTTCACGAGTGTATTATACGTAAGCAGTTTTACGTGCTTTCGGAAGCACGTAAAACCGCCAACTTACTGACACCAGACTGTTACTGATAGTTTCTTGACAGAAAACTCAATAAATGATTTGGGCTCGACCAAGGATTTGAGGCCACTACAAGATGGCTATGAGATCAACGAAGCAGTCAATTATATAAAGATAATATAAAAAGCTTAAAGAATCTTTTAAGCTTTTCATATTTTCGTCGTCATGTGAGTTTGATCGTGTATACATAACTCGGTCTAACAAAAAGTTTCTCTGAACTGTGAAGCTAAATATAATAATTATTATAATTGGTACACAAAGAAATGAAATTCGCACAAAGAAATGAAATTCGCGCAAAGAGATCGTAACGTCGGCGCGTGATTATTACGGTTAAATACTGTCCGTTTAATGTAACATTTATTATTTATTATGTTGTAATAAAATTTAATTTTTGACGAAAATTTTATAAAATATCTTTTAAAAGGTAGGTATATAACTAGGTAGGTAGTTAACTAGCCATTTTTAACACTGTTACATTGGTTTCATAACAAATTATAATAAAAAGTACAAACAATCATATTTCCTTAATGAGAAACATTACAACTTTAATAATGCATATATTTGTTTAATAAATGTATTGAATAATATATAGGAATAAAACAAATAAATATGTATTATTTAAAATAAATACCCTTTTGCTATTTATTCAAACTTGCACCAGTTACTAACCAATAAATGAATTTCATTTATAATACTTAATGAACTCAATAAATACTGTTGAAGTTACATAAACATCAGTAACATAGAGAGTTAGGCTAGCCTGGGGTATTCAATACAAAACTGCATGAACATTCTAAACTCAGGTGGTAATAACAATATAAGAAAAAAACATAATATACAACAGATATACAATTGTTATAAATTATAAGTTTACAAAAAACTTAGTTTAAAAATAATATCGGTTTTTTTGTAGATGTTACATTTCTTTAAAATTAAAAAAGCAAAAACTTACTTTATTAAATTTAATTAAAAATATATTTTTATTTTTGATTTTTGAGAATATTGTAAAATAATAATGTAACCAATTATGTTTGTAATACATTTCATTGCAATCTATTACAGATGATAATTTCTTTTAATAACAACTAAATTAACAAGTTCATAAAACATAATAAATGACAAAACTATTTTTATATGTACAAATATAGTCATCGAAGCTTTATACTAGTATGAAAGTTACATGGATGGATCCCTTGCATAACTCTAAGTATTAAAGCAAAAATGGGATGTAATACAGTCTCAAGTAAGTTTATTTTGATCACTGGTACTAGTATATCACAAATACGTAATCACTTTGGAAGTTTTAGTGCAAGGATAAAATGAAATAGGTTCTATGCTACGTTAGACACTATGTTTCATAAGCAACTAGTGCTTCATCAATTTACCCCACGGATAACTAGATTTTACAATAATTAATGTATTTCTTTGGATGCATGAACTCTATATATATCATATTAGTTGAGAAATTGTCTAATACCTGTTATGTTGATGGCATATGCTGACTTTGGAAAGCTGATGGCGGTACTCCTATGTCAATTGACTGTCCTGACGCTATTGAGTCGGGACTTTGCAAAGATGCACTGTATACTGGATTCATTGGTGTTGTGCCTCCAGCCTCAAATAATGTACTGTCATATACACTATTACTCTGTTGGAAAAATGGTATTTTAAATGTTTGCAAATATTTACACATTTGAGGGCTCAATCGGCTAAGTGAATGTTGTGAAATCTCACAACTCATCTATCCCGAATCAAGAATCAAAACGCAGATGTGTTGTCACCTTTGAGGACTGAGAAGAAATTATGTATTTCCAGTAAGAAGGGTCTACAGTTTTCTATACTCAAAATATGATAAACAGCAGCATTGAGCTGCTATTTTACACTGATATTCTGTGAGAGCGTGGTCCTTCCCTGGTTGAGCTGACCCATTCATACTACTACTATAATATAGCCTCAACATGGCTCTTCCACGTAAACGGCGCTAAGGACTGCAGGTTTGTATCCCGCATGGAACAAGTATTTATCGGCCTGCAAATAATTGTTCCAGGTCTGGATCTTTATCCCTGTGCAATTTATGTATGTAAACTGCTGGAGGAGGATAGTAGTCGCGTTATGTAGAAACAGTAAAAATCGGCCAAGTGCGTGCGTAACGTAAAATTTAAATGTTGTTTTGTTATCATTTTTATTGAAATTAATTTGTAACATCATTTTTATAGATTCTTTTTAAATTTTAATTACACGGAATTGTGTTTGTATAATTAAAAGAAAAATTTCGACCCCAAAACTTGAAATCTGTTAGACTTACACACTTGTAATTTTGCATGTCTAGTGAGGACACCTGGAATACTTAAAATCCCACATTAAATAAATTAACCAAATATAGTTCTTGTGATATTAAGGTCTCAGAATTGCCTTCATCACTTAGTTATTCACTGATTAACCGACTAACTAAATAAAACCCTACAGAGCTTGTGTCAGTCCACCAGTACATAATGCACGTACTGCGTTCTGTATATAAACGGAATGTTTCACATTTTTTCAACCAACTATGACGTCACAAGCGGTATTTAGTAATGGGAAACTTCTTTCCGCCCTAAAAGACGTTCGCACGCCACACATGTCAATTCAAGGGTTCTTTGATAAAGGTATTTTGAAAAGTTATGGAAATATAAATTGTATGATAATTTTTAAACATCTATTACCTGATATATATAATCAGAATCTGTCTTAAGAGAACTAAAACTCTGTTGATGCGGTAGTGACACTTGATCATCATCCATAGGTTCATCCATTTGAGCCTTGTAGGAAAACATAATACTAGGCTGTGATACGCTAAAACAAAAATGTTCAACTGAATTTGTTGGTAAGAACTAAGTAATAATTCATCATGATAGGTTTTAGTCCATACAACAATTAACAAAAAGCAAATGTTTTAACATGAAATGAAATGGTCTTAATTTAACAATATGCAAAAAATCACAATCCATTGCTCTATTGATATTTACTTACAGAACTATCAATACATTGCCAATGAATAATGTCGTATCAACCTATACTGAAATCTCAAATGAAGAAGTCAATTGATAGGGTCATGGATAATAAGAATTATTAGTTAAATTAAAGTGATTCAACAGTGATCCGGTGATTCCCTATATTTTTTAGTATTTTGTCGATGACCTAAATGTGGATCAATATTGACAAAACCTTTTCAAAGCGTAATCCGTGTGTCTACTCATTTTAGTTATGAATGCTAAGGCTATCACAAAAAGACGCTTTTTAGTGGTCTTTCAAATGGAATAAATATTAATTGAATTTAGTTAAGGCACTAGACAGCGGGAAAAACATGGTTTTTATTAGATTTTTGTAAGTGTGTGTTGATTAATAAACAGATTTCTCGCAAAACAGATGCTTTCTCTTGTATTGAACTTTTGGAGTTTGTTATAATGTTATGATATCTATTTAGCTGCTGAGCATGCTGATATGATTTTAATTTATTCAGGTCCAAGGTCTAAGAATGTCATCAAAAACCAGCACTTCCTGACTTCAGATAATTTCAAACTTGCAAAACACATTACATAATACATATATATACAGCGGGTTCGCATCAAAACACACATACAAAAAGTAGAGCAGATAACTCTTGCCATTTTATTATCCTCGCAATAACAAAAAACACCTGTAGCCAGCAGTTGTTGCATTTTATTTATAACTTAATAAAAAATGAGTAAGTACCTGAAGAATTCACTGAGGAAAGTGTGATAAACCAGGGGAGTGTAAAGTGAAAAGTATAGCCAAGTAGTCACATCAACAACACACAACCCTGACTGCATAGATCCCCATGCTAGGAGACCTGCTCCCACCGCTTGAGTTGTGTCCAAAAGAGCCAATAATAGAATGTATAAATAAAATGAGAGTTTTGCTGAAATTGAAATAATACAATATATTTTTTTTAAATAATTTAAAATTCTAAAATAAGACATTTCAACATTAACATAAACAGTATTATTATTGGATATATTAAAGATTTATAACATGTAATAAACAAAATTTAACAACAGCTTGTTCAATTTTGTTCATATATAGATAATAATTCCACATGAGCAATGTTGTCTGTCATTGGTAGACGAAGTCCAAAAATAGCAAAGTATCAAAGAACTATCTCTTGGAAAAATTTGTAAATTTTTATAAAAAAAATGTTACAAATCAAAGTGAAGTAAATGTAAAATGATTCTTTTGTAAGTTTGTAACACTAAATAGAAAAACTATGTTGGCCACAAAACATTAATAAAAACTGACCTTGACTTCATTGTCTCTTGTTTCTGTGTAAAAAAGACACTACTTAAATCTAGTAGGTAACTTGTTGTATAAACAGGAGCCTTTCTCTACTAAGGTTTCTATAAAGGATTTTAACTTTTGATTGTTTGTAACGACATTGGCTCTAAGAAATAACAAAAAATTTTAAGTGCAAATATTATTTAAATAGAATAGAATAATTTTTATTCATTATAGATTATTACATAATATTTATTGAAAGTAATTTTTTTATTTACCAGTAGTTCAGAAAATACCTCTGTGTCTTGGGAAGAATCAGCAAGAAACCCAGTGGCATTTTTTTAAACA